TTTTTGTTATTTGTCTGTTAATATTACTCTGTAATGTCTTCAAATAATAGTTTTATATTCCAGAGTTTTAAATGTAATTTTATCTTTCGAAAATGTACGAACTACTTTTATCTAGGCAAAAATTACGTTGAACCTTCCTAATTTACCATTTTTTTTATTCACTTTAGTATTGTTAGGATTCGTGCATGCGCATGGGGAGATATTGAGATTTATGTGTTTTTAGACAAAAGTGTAACTTTTAGAAAAATTGCTTCCTTTTTACTTTACAACGCAAATAGTTGTGTGAAAAAAAATATTTTCACAATTCTTTACTTTTTCCAGTCAGATTTTTTCTCAATAGTTGCTGTTTTTCAGGATCTATAGACTGTTTATTGAAAAAAAGGCTTTTGGGCTAAGTTGGCAAAATTTTCACAGGCTAGTTTGCTCAAATCATTTACTATAAAAAAAAAAAAATTTATAAAATTTTTTTTCTTTATTATTTTTTTTAACAATATTTGAAAAATTTATTTTTTACAAAAATGACAATAAACTTTTTATTTTTTTTTTTTTATATCATGAAAAGTGGGCGAATGTTTCGGTTTGCTAAACAATGCAAATTTAAAATGTTACATATATTCATACTCTTTTTTGCCGTTTTTGCCATTAGGGCTATAGAGCTAAAAGAGTAAAAACAGAGGCAACTAGCCCCGTCTCCCCTATTATACATTAAGACAAAAATTTAAATGCAGTAAAGCTGCAGTAGTTCAAAAACTAAAAGTTTTTTTTATAAAATTAAAAGTAATTAATTTCACTTTGGCAGCATATACATTGTGTAGTTATTTTAGGTAAATAAATTAAATTATAAATTACAAAGCATGTAGCTCTAGATATTTATCAATGCTTTGAATAAGAACAACCTTTCACTTTTGATGATAATATCTGGTAGTTTGTTCCACATTGATGAGACTATTACTTAAGAATTGATGACGAATATTGCAGTTTTTTTAATTATTTCTTCTCTGATTTTGAAGTTATAGCCCCTTGTGTTGGGCTGATGCGAGGCAAAAATATTACAATCTAGTTCTACAATATTTATTTTTTTAAATAGTTTGTAGTGAATTAGGACTTGAATTAAATTGCCTCTTTTACATCTTTTTTCCAGTGTGCATAAGCCAAGTACTTTATTTCTTGTTTCATAACTTTGTTTTCAAATCTGGGGTATCCATTTAGTGGCATAATGTTGAATTTTTTCTAGTATTGTATCGCAAATTTTCACTATAATATTGTATCGCAAATTTGCACTACAAGCATTATTGCACTTGAAAAATATTTTTCAAATCCATTAATGCTTGTATCACAAATTCAAGATGGGGTCTTATAAATGTTACGTATAGTATCTTAAACATTTTTTTGTTGTTGTAATAAAATATTTTCTTTGAAATTCCAAGCATTGAATGAGCTTTTGATGAACAATTGGTTATGTCACCTAGTTTATAAGGAAGGTTATTTTTTCCTAAGTGCATAACACAATATTTTTCACTATTAAATTGTAATTGCCAGATCTCTGATCATTCACAGGCTTGGTTAATTTCATTCTGAAGCAATTGACCATTCTCAGAGCTAGCTCTTTTCCTGATTAACTTGGTGTCATCTGCAAAGAGCTTAGAGTGTTCTAAAGTCTCTGGTAAATTGTTGATCTATAAAATGAATAAGATTTGAGAAATTACAAATCCTTGGGAAACACTGCTTGTTATCATTTCCCAGTTTGATGCTTCATTGCCTTGTATCATTCCTTGCTTCATTGCCTTGTATCATTCCTTGCTTCATTGCCTTGTATCATTCCTTGCTTCATTGCCTTGTATCATTCCTTGCTTCATTGCCTTGTATCATTCTTTGGTGTCGATTAGTTAAAAAGTCACTTATCCAGTTGCATATGACATTTGATACTCTATATTACTTAAGTTTGATTAATAATTGTTCATGAGATGCTGTGTCAAAGGCTTAGTCAAGATAATCAATATCTACTGGAATACAAGTCAATATAACAAATATCTACTGGAATGTTTTCTGCTAGAGATTAAATCAAAAGATCCATTGTTTCAATTAGATTTGTTTAACAAGATTTCCCCTTTACAAATCAATGTTGATGTTTATATAATAAACTATTATTTGACATATGTTTATATATTGTGTCAGATATAATACAGATATAATACAATACATATGTTTATATATTGTGTCAGATATAAATACAAATTAGATTATATATACAATTTCATAAAATTTTTATCTAATATAATAAACAAATAAAAAACATAATAGAGCATTATATAGGGCAAAGTGTATAAATTTTTTATTTAAAAAACTCCATGTCAAAACATGTTCAAATGAGAAGCAGAAGCATTAAATATAATAGATTATTATTATTACTGATATTATTGATAATATTAATGATAATGAATAAGAGAAATAATAAAAATAATCTTAATGAATAATAATAATAACTAGCTGTCTGGACCCTTAAAATAGATCATTGTAGGTCTTTTCACACCTAAGATAAAAACTTAATCCTCTATTTTTTTATATATTTTCTAGTAAATAATTAAACTGACTTATTATTATTATTTTAACAATTATTTAATCAACATTGATACTCTAACATCTTGTTGTAAACTTCCAATAATATAATAGGGAAGGAGTGATAACATGGAGTTTATTATAATCACTTCACTGTTTTTTAATATTGTAAAATAAAAAGTTTAAAACTTCTTTCTTTAAAAAATTAAATTTAACGTCTTCTCACTTTAAGAAAAGATAAACTTACTAAAAGAAAATTGACTCTTAATAGTGTTATATTGCGTGGAATTGATTATGTAAACATGTTTATAGCATAAGGATCTTTCACATAGATGATAGCACTTCCAGTAATTAATTCTCCTCTCTGTTTATTGGGCAGGTGAGAAGAGTTATTTTAATTAAAAGTAATCAAGATTTTAAAACATAAGGAACTATTATCAAAATAATAATAAAATGCAAAATAAGTGTATATATTGTATATATTTCTTATTATATATATATATATATATATATATATATATATATATATATATATATATAATAAGAAATATATACATATAGTCATCTACCATTCATCTTCTAGGATTAACTCTTACTTCTGATCTTTCTTTTAAACCGTATATCAAATCCATTGCAAAATTAGCATCTGCTAAGGTTGCATCTCTTTATCGAGCTCGACACTTTCTTACTCCAGATTCTATTCTCTATCTCTATAAATCTCAAATCCGTCCCTGTATGGAATACTGTTGCCACATCTGGGGCGGATCTTCTAATGATGCTCTTTCTCTTTTAGACAAGGTGCAAAAACGAATTGTAAACATAGTTGGACCTGCTCTGGCAGCCAATCTCCAACCTTTGTCACAATACTATAATGGGCACTGCTCTAAAGAGCTAGCGTCCCTTGTGCCATCTACTAAAATTCATTTTCGTGTTACTCGCCATTCAATTAAGTCTCATCCTTTTTCTGTGACTGTTCCTAAGTGCTTCAAAAACTCTTATTCTTCTAGTTTTTTTCCTCGAACATCAGTTCTTTGGAATTCGCTCCCTTCATCTTGCTTTCCTGATTCATATAATTTGCAATCTTTTAAGTCATCAGTCAATCGTTATCTTGCTCTACAGATTTAGTCTTTTCTCTTCCAGTAACTTCCAACTCTTATAGTGGTTGCTTGCAGCCTTGTTGGAAGTGAAGATGTTAAAAAATATATATATATATATATATATATATATATATATATATATATATATATATATATATATAATAAGAAATATATACAATATATGCAATATATATATATATATATATATATATATATATATATATATATATATATATATATATATATATATATATATATTACATTCTTGATAAATGTAAATAAGTATAGTTTTAAGTTGTGTTTGTGCTTTTTTGTGTTTATGTTCATTAAATACAACCTGTAGTATTTAAAATGTCACTCATTTTTATCTGATTTTCTCGCAGTTAACGATTCTGAAAAAAACATTTGTTTGCAGTTTGTATAAATTTGTTTAAGTAGCATTAAGTAGTGCTAACTTACATTTTCTATCTTCTCTCCCCCCTCTTTCTTATTTGTATTTCTGATAATGATAAATATTTATCCTGATTAAGAATCGTATGAATGTCATAGAATGCTGGTGTAGAAAGTAATAGTCTATAAGCCTTATTTCTTATTTCAACAACAATTGTTTGTCATTTAATTATTTTATCATAATATTTATTTTATCATTAATTAATTTTATCCTAAATAAACTTAATTGAACAACTTGATATCTTATCTAAACAATCAACTTAATTAAACTTGGGAGGATTGAGACTGCTTTCATAATTGGCTAAAATAAAACAATCTAAATTTATTATTTCTACGCATATGTTTTTATTATACTAAATCTTTTATGAATGTATGTTTATGTGTTGCCCCAATTTTTGTATGATCCTAACTTGACTATATTTATTATAGCCGATAATCTTAAAGTTATGATTAATGTATAACAACAATAATAATAAAAAAAATAAATTGTTATTTTTTAAATAATAATTTATTATTACTGTTAATATTATTGCTGTTGTTATACATTTATCATATCTTTAAGAACTTAGACAAGAGGTTGTTAAGGTTTGACTTACTATGCTGGAAATAAATCATTTCTAAAACTTCCCTTTGGAAATAAGCTTTAAAAAAGCTTCATAAATAAGATTGATCTTAATCTTTGGTGCAAAAGTTAAATTAAAAAATCTTCCGTAATGGTGACACTAGAAAATATTTATGTTTTATCATGAACAGAATAATTAATAATCATTTGATAATCTGGAATTATTTTGCTGAATTTTTTAAAAAGGAATTTTCAAAACATAAAAAAGAATAAATAAAAAATTGTATTTTTAAATTTTGTAAGAATATTTAAAAATAAACAACATTAATTTTTAGGTATTGGGAAATGTTTTGGGCTTGGTTAATATAGTTTTAGATCTTGATCAAGCATTAATTTTAAAAGCACAAAATGAACACAATTCTTCTAACAAGTTTTTGGAAACAATTGACATAATGGCACAGACATATTCTAAGAATTATCTGTTTCAAACTTTTGTTTCAACAAATATAGGAATGAGTAATAACAAAGCTCCTCATACAGATATTTATATAGTGGCATTTGAAAACTCAAATAAAGATATGGTTGTATTTATAGATAACAATTTCTTTTTAAACGGTAAGTTTAGCTTGTTTGTTTTTTTTTTATTCCATAAAAGTAGTATTAATATACTTTTTTGTATTTCATTTTGTGTTCACAAGATGAAATACATTCCTTTTTTTTAAGGAATATATTTTTTAAGGAATTAAGTAACTCAGATTTTAGAGCTACGCCATTTTAGAGCTTATTCATGCCAAGATATCAAAAAAAGATTATTTTAAAAAGATTTGAAAACAAAATAAAATTGAATATTAAACATTAAAAAAAATAAAAAACACTTTCGAAGTAAAATAAAAGATTCAGACCAAGAATGGATTCTTGCGGCACACCATTTCGAATTTTTAAATTTTTAGTGGTAGTAAGAATCCAAAAGCAAAAATTGTATCCAGTTCACTCATTTTCCATTAAAACAATAATTTCATAATCAATTCTGTGAGGCAGACTTTATTGAAAGGTTTAGCTAAGTATATTTTAATTGCGTAAAATTTAGGGTTAAGCCCCTCCAATGTAATGTCCACCGTTTCTAGTAGTTTAGTAACACATGATTTTTGCCTAACAAAGAAATGTTGGCGTTTTAAGATCTAGTTGTGCCAAACTAGACAGGTCATCATGGGATTTTTTTAACAGTTTTTCTATGATTATGCATATTATGGCTGTTTAAGTGGTTGGTCTATACTCAAATGGACCACATTTATTTCCTTTTTCTTAGAATCATGTTGGCTTCTTTCTAAGTGCCAGGTATTACACCTGTTTCAAATTATAGTTTTTAGTTAGATTTTTTATAAGTGCTAATACTAATTGTAAAAGTCCTTGAAATTGTAATATTTTATTTCATTTAATGTAATATATATATATATATATATATATATATATATATATATATATATATATATATATATATATATATATATATATATATATATATTATTTTAATTCACCTCCTCAAGGCCGAGAAGGCCACTACAGACGAGGAGGCTACTTATTTGTGGCTATAACCCTCTCTCAACTCTATAACTCTGAAACACGAACCTTGATGAACAAGGCCGCTGCGCAGAGAAACGAGTTAAGCGCAGTACTACCTGGGACGTGGTGAGGATCGAACTCCGAACCACTCGTTTATGAAGCGAGTGCTCTACCACTACACCACTACTATATATATATATATATATATATATATATATATATATATATATATATATATATATATATATATATATATATATATATATATATATATATATATATATATATATATATATATATATATATATATATATATATATATATACTGCCCAAAATTGGCAGAAGGAAGCATGTTACATTATTACCATAATATGTGTTATAATGTTTTTCATGAGAGGAAGCATGTTACTATAGTTTAAAGTAAATTCTCTGCACTGGCACTGTCGTGCATTCAAACTGTACTAACTATACAATCGTATTTGGAAGCATGTTCCAAATTTATAACCTATAAATAAATAAATCGAAAAAATATATATATATATAATTTTTAATTTTTTTTAATATATCATTTTGTCCTAAGCAATAGAAAATTCAGAGTAGTTCAATTCATCCCTCAATTGTTTGAACTAGTTTCAAAAGGCAATGTCACAAACTGCTTTTGCTTCTCCTGGCATTTTGGCAATTTGTAACATACTCTCTTCTGTCAATTTTGGGCAGTGTATATATATATATATATATATATATATATATATATATATATATATATATATATATATATATATATATATATATATATATATATATATATATATATATATGTACACACATATTATATATATGTATATATATAAATATACACATATTATATATATGTATATATATATAAATTATGTTAGTGTATTCTACAAATAGAGTGCTCAATGTTCTTAAAGAACAGAGCAATAATAAATTAGTAATAACACCTATCTAATTTTTAGTAGTCTTCAAAATCATGTTTCTCCATCAGTAGATTCATCAGGAAGAAGCTTCTTTCTTATGAATCTACTGATGGAGAAACATGATTTTGAACACAACTAAAAATTAGATAGGTGTTTTTACTAATTTATATATATATATATATATATATATATATATATATATATATATATATATATATATATATATTTGTTTATATATATATTTGTTTATGTATTTATTTATATATATATTTATTTATAAAGAGATAGAGAGAGAAAGTGTGTGAAATATATTTACTATAGAGTGTTAAAAAATATATAAATATATCTACTATAGAGTGTGATAACAAACTGTTACCATAGGGTGTTTCATTCCCAACCATTTTTTTGTAAATTATTTATCCAGTTGTGCAAGTAACGTAACAGTTACTTGCATAACTGGGTAAATAATGGGCAAAAAACACGTCTATAAATTTTTCAAAATTTTAAAATGTCATCTAGAGGTCGCCACTTTAAAAAATTGCGTTTTTTACACTTTTTTTAACTTTAAATTTAAAAAACTTAAAAATTAATTAATTTTATGTTATTTTACTTGGTGTATATATTAAAGGTTATCAGATAAACATTTGGCTAAATTTTCAGAAAAATTGGGTGATATCTAGAGGTCATCGTATTAAAAATATAAAGCTACAAAACTTTTTTAATATAGCATATGATTTAAGTTTGATTGCAGAGACAGATGAAGAATTAATACTAAGATTTCAGTGTTAGATAAAACAGAAGCAAAAGAGCTTAGGATAAATATGAATAAAACAAAATTTGTGCAAATAGAAAATACTGGAAAGTCGATTGTGTAGGAAAAGTGATTGTGTGGGAAAGGAGTTAGAGCAAACTTGTTTGTATAGTTAGTAAGCAATGGCTTCACAAGAGATGTAGTGGCATACAAAATGTTCTTAATATTGTTGGCTTTGAGCATAGAGAATGTATTTTTGATAAGACAAAAAGTCTTCTTTTTTTTTAAAAAATTTCAATTTACCTCTCCAAGTCCTTGAAATAAATAATGGTAGATAAATAGTGTGTAAGTAAGTTTTGTTTTTGAAATACAACTGGATCAGCTTTGTATCTCAGAGATACAAAGAATGTTATGATCAATGGCAGTGGAACACTACAATGAAAGTCAATGATATTGGACTCTGAGAATTTGGGATACTGTGATTTTGGTGGACTCTGTAAAAGAGAGTAAACTCTAATATTTGGTTCAGGTAGGCAAATGGTTCTTAGAGGAGTGATAGAATTTTTGAAGTATTGATTTTTTATTCCAGTTATTTGAAGTATTGATTTTTTATTCCAGTTATTTGAAGTATTGATTTTTTATTCCAGTTTCTCTGTTCAAGAACAGAGAAAATGATGATCAGATGAAGATGTGGTGGAACTCTAAAATTATGATTTAAGGAAATACTAAAGGTATTTGTCTAGAGATCACTGTATTAAAAATATATAGCTACAAATCTTTTTGTTTTTAAAAAGTCCTATTAAAAATGTAATTAAAATTTTAGGAGGCAAAATATTTTTAAGCTTTTTCTTAAAAATATTTATTTATAAAGAAAACTCAAAAACATAAAAGAACTCTAAAGTATTAATTAGTTTTGATTTCAAGTCAAGAGCCTTTCTTGTTTATTTATTAGTCCTAATAAATTGACAAGAAGCCAAGATCAACGCCCAATTAAAAAATAAAAAAGGCTGAAAAGTTTAATGTTGGAAATTTTGGTTTCCCAATCAATAAAATTTTGGTCTTGGGGTAAAAAAACGTTTATTTGCCTTTATTATTCTGATGATACTGACAATTTTTCATTAAAGATAAAATAACAAGCTCTTCTGTTAAATACCAAAGGTAGCAGTTAACCGACAAAGTCACAGCAGTTATAGTAATTCTCTTCTTGATACCAGAATATTGCAACAAAAAGTATAATGTGCCATATATCTCGCATTGTGAGTTGCAGCTGGTTTGTGAATTTTGAACATTCTGTCCACTGATAGTTATTCACCAAGGTAGATAGGAGTTAGTTCTAGTTGAATTAAAAAAGCTCAATATAGTCTTCTCGCAGAAATGTTTTCTTGTTAAGGCATTAGGCCGGCTGAATCAAAATGAGCAATTGCTAATACTCAGTAATTGGTCAGCTTTGCGTGAATAAAAACTTCAGTTTTGCTCAAATTTTTTGTTCACGTAAATTTAAGTAGTTTACTCGGTAATTGCTCAGCTTTATGTGAATAAAAACAAAAACAAAATTGTTCAAGATTTTATTCACCTGGCCTATAGGTAAGCCAATTTCAGAGCTAAGTCTTCTTTTATCTTTAATTTCAGTAGGCCACTTAAAAAAAAGTAAAGTTTGAGTAATCAATATCAAAGTTCGGCTGGGAAACATGAGAATTGCCAGGCCATGGTAAAACAGTAACATCTTTTGACTTTAAATATCTTGTCACTGATTTAGCTTTATGGCATGGAGCAGAATTATGCATAAAGATGTATTTGGATGGATCAGGAAACCAATCATGTAATACTTTTTTATATTTATCCTGGTTCATCATCCCTTCAACTACATAAAGAAGGCCACTATCCTTACCACTTATAACTGACCACACCATCACTTTTAGAGGGTGTTATATGTCTGGATTATATTTTTCTTCTTTCCTTCGTCTAACAAAAGAAGACTTATCCATTAATATTTCAAATTGGGACTCATCTGAGAAACACACCTGAAAACAAATCAAAATAAAAAAATAAATACTCATATAAATGTTTCAATCAGTGATGCTATTACAATAAACAATTAAATATTTACTTACATTTTCCCAATCTTCTGCAGACATATGTAGGTGTCGCTTTGCCCAAGTGAGATGTTTTAGTTTCATCGCTGTCGTAGGTATCCTTACAGGTCTGTAACATTTAAACCTGTTCATCTCTTGGGGTAGTGATGCGTGGTCTAACTCATTTTCCACTTCTGGCACTTTGTACAGGTATTTTCTTTTCAAGTTTACCTTTAATTCCACTTACTGTTATCCCAGAAACTTTAACTAAATTTGCAATTTTTTCTTTTAATGTTTTAACAAAGCAGATATTTCTGAAATTTTTTTGTTTTATATACCTTTAGCTTTTCCAATTTTTAGGCACCAAAGTTTAAATATTTTTAGTTAAAATTACTAATTAATGTAAAAAAAATGAGTCAGAATCACAAAACACTAAACAGTTGACAAAAATTTTATTTATTATCCACGCGTTATTGCGCAAATAAAAATTTTGCCATGAATATGTAAAAAGGCGAATTTCGCATATTTTTGCATATTCTAGCTAATTAATTCTAAAAATTGCCACAGTTATTTATAAATGTCACAACTTCTTAAAAAAAATATAGAAAACTATTATTGATATTAAAATCTCAAAGAATGTAAGATTAGAAGCAAATTTATTCATTTAGATTCATATTTAATTCCAGTTTTTGTGAAAAAAGAAACAGTAACTAATAATTTGGCCGCCCACTGTAGGAACTGCTAAACATTATTCATTATAAGTTAAATTTTAAAATAAAGAATCTGTAGCAGTTCTTATAAGCTTATTTTTTTTAAACTTTTTTTAAACTAATTATATATTTTTATGTCTTTGTCTAAATGATAAAGCTTCGAATCCTAGTGCAAAATAGTCTTTTTTGTTTTGTTTATTTATAAATCTGTTTTAATTGATAGAACTGTTTTTAATGATGCACAGTTAATACTGAAATTGACATAGCATTAGGTTTACCTCTGCTTTTGCGGATGATAGTGGATTGGAATAGAAGCTGTTGGCAAACTGATAAACAACATTGGTCTGCCACAGATACTGTAACTTTTGAAAATTTCTTTGCTGATGTTTTGAGTGAGTTTGTTAAAGGAATGAACTTTCTATCTTTTTTGATTTTTTTCATCAGTACTTTGCTTACACAACTACAGCACGACGAAAACGCGTTTTTTTTGTGAAAATTGAAGGATTTTTTTTTCATTTTTATCATTATGATCAAGTAAAAACAAAAATTGCACAAGGAATAGACAAACACAGTCGGAAACCACTCAACAAAGTTCAGAAATGTTTAGATTTTCTAGATTTACAATTGTACTCTCTCGAAGTAGCCCCTAAATGTAATCCCCCTGTCATGTTTTCTTTATACTGTCCTTGGTAATGACGTTCAAAGTCCAATATATCTTGATGAATGCTTGTTCCTCGGAGTAAGTGTCTATGTTCAATAAAGATTTTTATTAATTTATTATTGCTCTGTTCTTTAAGAACATTGAGCACTCTATTTGTAGAATACACTAACATAATTTATATATATATATATATATATATATATATATATTTATATATATATATATATATATATATATATATATATATATATATATATATATATATATATATATATATATATATATATATATATGTATAAGTTGTATATGATTTCTGATGAGTCTTTATTGATGAAACACAGTGTTAAATGAAAACTTTTTGTTAAGTGATTTTCTACTAATTTATTATTGCTCTTTTCTTTTAAAAACAATGAGCACTCTATTTAGTAGAATACAGTTTTGACTTGTTTATATATATGCATATATATATATATATATATTAGGGTGCCTCAAAAAACAACTTTTTTTGAAATTGTCTGCTGCCACTCCCTAAATGTGTTCTATGTAATAAATTAATACTGAATTTTAAAAATTTTTGAAAAAAAAATTATTTTTAGGGGTAGCTCAAGACCCTTAAACATCAAACGGGTCCCTATAATTATCAAAAAAAATATTTCTTCATAAGTCATGTTGGGTCTCAAAAGCAGCAAAATTTCATATAAATTTTAAAAATCATTTTATATAAAGATTACTAGTTAAAATTTTATGGCTTAAAAACTATCATTTTTCAACAAAAAAAAAAAAAGTAAATTTGTTCATAGTTTTTTATAATAAACTTTTTAAATTTGTGTTTCCATAATTTTTTTTTATTATTTTTAAAATTTTTATAAAATTTCACTTCTTTTGAGACCCAACATGATATGCTTTTGAAGAACTTTTTTTTCAAAATATTAGAGACCCGTCTGATGTTTATGGGTCTTGAGCGTCAAAAATTTTTTTAATTTAGTATTAATTTATTACATAGTACACATTTAGGGGGAGGCAGCAGACAATTTCAAAAAAAGTTGTTTTTTGAGGCACCTTAATATATATATATATATATATATATATATATATATATATATATATATATATATATATATATATATATATATATATATATATATATATATTTCCATGTAACCGAGGTATAATAAAATGATTATGAAACTTCTCATTATGGTGTCTTTGAACTATTATTCTATTTTTTCTATTAAGATCTGTATAATTTGAATCATTGATAAATACTTTTTATTTTTTTTTATTTCATTATCAAACATTTCCTTGCAATATTGTAGTCATTTAAGCTGATTTGATTCTTTTGGGTTTCTAGCAGCACTGTACGAGTTTATGATCAATTAATCTTCTATTTACTGTCTAACTTGAGATGTCAGTTTTAAGAGCTAGATTTATTGTTTGAGCAATTTTTGACTCAGAGTTTAACCCTTTCACCCATCTGATCATCAGGCCTTACAAACAAATTTAATACAAAAAAAACTATGCAAAATACTAGCAATATTAGCTTAGATAACATTAAAGTTGCAGATGACAAGTTTGCTTTCTTGGCAGCATTTTGATATTTTTATATAAACCCATTAGTTACAACTTTTAAGTTAAAATATTGTTTTTAATTTCAGTAAAAAGTAAAGTATGAGTAATGTTTTTTTATTTTTTTTTATAATAAATAAAATTCATTAAAATTGTTTTTTATTATCTTTTATACCCTAAGCAACAAGTTATGCAGTAGCATAACTTGTTCCTTTTTTCTAATCAATCTTAAGTCATAACAAAGGGCTCTTTGTATGGTCTCAACAACGCACACCAAATGCGCAATTAGGGATGTCTTCCATGCACAACATGGCATTGGTTATACTCTAGTGTTATACAGCTTTTTTGTGTAACAACTTCCAGGAGTGATACTCAGCACAGAGTTTACAAAATTGTCTCAGAACCACTAAAATGAGTTTTCAAGCTGTAGTCTCATTAGGAGAATAACAAAAAGTTTTGTATAGTCACTAACAAAGAGGCACAAGTAAAAACCAACGAGTTAAGAAGTATCTGTCTTCATCATAGCTGGAAGTAGTATAAAAAAGGTTTATATTTATGCTAGCATATTAGATAAACAACTGGTGCGAGGCAGTTTAATAGATTATTTTCTGCTTACCTCTATAATCTTTTTGTAGAAAACATTTTAAAAGGCAGTTGAATGCAGCTAATATCTACCCAAGATGAGTTAACTTCTCCTATTCTTACATGTTACAAGTAGCAAGGTGAATTTGAGGAATCCTGACTTAACTTGACCCGGATTTACATTCTGCTTACAATCTGTATTCTGTTACTTAATTTAAAGAGGTTTTTGCAGTATATTACTGAAACAAGTTAAAATTATTGCAACTAGTTACTGCTAGAATTAGCTGCTACATTTTACTTGAACAATTTAGGTTTAAATTTCAAAACTCAATTATTTATACTTAAACCCAATCATTTTTTTTTTAATCTAGCTAAAAGTGATTAGATAAATAAAATTTTAAGGTATTGTAGAGTACACAGTTTTCATTTAAAAAATTTTAAGGCATTTTTTATATATTTATTTCGATATATTTTTCTTGATATGAAAGATATTCAACAAGTTTTTTAACTGTTTTACAAGAACTTAACAAAAAAAATTTATTTTTAGAAGGAAACAACGATGCAGTTATAATGATTCCGAAGGCAGCCATTTCTCAGCATAGCCTTATGTATGCCTTCATTTATCGAAATCCATACTTTTTTCTTAATACAAACGGATTTGTATCCTTATCTGATTCTAGATCAGTGGGAGCATTAATTTCAAGTGCTGTTGTTTCAGTTAGTATTCTTAATCAGACTATTAATAACTTAAGTGAACCAATTTCTATTACATTTAAAAAACCAAGAAATCAAAAAGGAAATTTTAATTGTTACTTTTGGAACTCAAGTATTAGTAAGTATTTATTTTTTCTGGTTGTTTTTTTTTATAAATATTAAATATCACTTTTTTTTTTCAGAAATTAATTCATTTAACAAATTTTAGGAAATATATAACTGTTTAGATGCATGGTCAAACAATGGATGTTACAAGTTTAATGAATCAAATGCATATGTATTTTGTATGTGCAACCATCTCACAAATTTTGCACTTATTTTGGATACCTCTCAAATTGGATACAATCCTTTAGAATTAAAAGTTATAACTTGGATTGGATGTGGTATTTCCATAGTAACTTTACTGTTAACAGTTTTAATACTGTTACGAAGGTAATTTCTAAAATTATAATTATAAATATGGTTGTTTTATAAAATATTAAATAAAATATTATTAGTATCAAATAAATAAGATATAAGGGTGTTTACCCATCATCACTCATATCACTCATTTGTCTATAAGTTTTAAAAAACAGAAAAATGATATAGGGAAATTATCTTCATTAATTTAGGTAAATGTTTTACTTAAATTCCAAAATTTGTTTTAAGTACCTTCTGATATTTCAGTAAATGTATTGTAAAATTTCTCAAATTATCTTTATCAATTTTCTTCCGTTAAATCTTATTGTTATAGGCTTATTTTTAAAACACATTTAACTAAATAGCATGTTTTAGAAAGAGCGATTAAAACAGGGAAAGCATTGAGGAGTTGAGGATTTTTATATTATTAAATTTCTATCAAGTTATTTTTTAATTCTTTTGCATCAAAATGATTTTTTGAAATCTCAAGCTATAGAATCACAACAACAAGTTCATTGTAACAAACCCATAGCAACACATTTACAGCAACACTTCAATAATTGCGCATCCATAGCAACACTTATACAGCCATATATTACAGCCATAGATACACATAGCAACACATCTGTTGCAACACAATCAATATCTTTGGTACACTGTTAATATTTAAAATTAGATGAAGGATTTTATATACACAGCTTTACCTAAAGTGTACAAAAATTAACTTAATAATTTGCTCTTTTTTTTAAATATATTTCCACTGATTTACATATCAATGTTTTGAATGTTTTAACTTAAGAATTTCATTGATTTTTTTTTCCAATTATTTCACTATATTTCAACTATTGGCTGACTTTTTCAAATTACTTTTATCGATTCACATATCAAAGGTTCAAATAAAAATCTTAATTGATTCCCTAGTAAAAGAGTTCTCAGAATAAGAGCTTATAAAATTATTGGATTTTAAATAGATGACAAAAAAATTTTCATCCAAAATTCAATCAAAAATATTTTAAAAGTAATTTATAAATTATTTTTAATTCTGGCATTCTTAGTTCAGGGAGGCTCTTTGTTATTATTTATAAGTTGGTTTGCTTGGTTTTTGGTTCTCATAAGTTCCCATAAGATCTTGGGTCTTTGCCCTCTTACTGTCAGTTAGTATTGAGACAAAGTATTTGTATTATTGTATTTATTTGTTTTTTTACTTTTGTTATTAAAGGAATCTTCGAAAAGATCGCACTCATAAAATTCATTTCTTTATGTGTGTATCTTTACTTACTCTGCTAATATTATTCATTACTGCTGCAGAACGAAGGAAATCTTCTTTAATTAAATGCAAAATTGTTGCTGCTGGTTTGCATTACTTTGTCTTGACCACATTTTGTTGGATGGCTGTTGAAGGAGTAAACCTATATCAAAAAATTACTGTAATGAGTAAACTGGAAACTAGATCTTTTATGGTTAAGTCTTCGTTATTTGCATGGGGTAAATTTTAAATATAAGTTCTCTGAAGCATTTTTTTTTTAATTTGTTTATAATTGTATTTTATTTAACATCAACTTTTAAATTCTTTTTTTTTTTTTTATAAAAAGTTGAATGTTACACCAAGGTCCAAAAGTCTGTTCATTGTTGGGACTACATGTGTGTTATTTAATATGATCAAAACATTAACCAATTGTCGTGTTAACATTATACTTTTCTGGAAAATGTTTTTTTAGAAATTTACTTAATTTACTTAGATTTCCTAAATAAGTTTTTTTGTTTAAATTTTTTTTATTTTATTGTTAGTACACAGTTAGACATTTCCAATAAATCACGTAGAGAAACTCCTATTTTTTATTTTATTTTTTTATAATAATATAATCTCTTATTTAATTGTAACCTATTTAAATATTTTGTAAACTAAGAACACACAAGATTTATTATACATTAGTGATTTATCATAAAAAAAAATTAAGTTTGAAACGGACAGAACAGAAAAGTGCAAAATTTAATGCTTGATAAATAAACTTAAATTTCTCAAAAAATATAAATTTTACCAGTATTCTGTTGTTTTTTAAAAGTAATATTTTATATATTAGTAAAGATTTTTATAAAGTTACAGAATTCTGCTATTTTTGTTGTAAAATATTGTTATATTTTAAGATAATGATTATAGTAAAGTGTGTACACGAAATAAATGTGAAAGAATACGTACGTCATTTTTTTTCAGTGGTTATATTAAAATCTTTTTAATTGTTTTGTATTTTGTTTACAACGTGTTTACAACGTGTTGTGAACGTGTTAACAACGTGTTGTGAACGTGTTTACAACGTGTTGTGAACGTGTTTACAACGTGTTGTGAACGTGTTTACAACATCGTGTTGTGGTTTCAAAAAAATGTATTAGTTTTTTGATTTAACTTAAAATTAGTTTTAAAAATGACAAAAGAAGAAGACATAAGAGAAAATATTATGCACAAATATTTGGAAAATCCCAATAGTAGCTACAATTCAATAGCAAAAGCGTTGCAAATACATCCATACACCGTTATTCAACGTTTTTCTCAAACAAAATCAATCAAATGTAAATCTGGTGGTGGAAGAAAGAAGGGTTTTAAAGATAAAAAACTAGTTAGAAAACTGGTTAACAGTTTTAAGACTAACCCAAGCCAAAGGAGCGCGCAAACATTTATGGACTTTCTCATAGTTTTGTTGTAAAAGTTCAAAATAAACATGGTTTTTATTCTTTCAAAGTACAAAAAGTGCCCAACCAATCTGAAAATCAACAAAAAAGTGCAAAAACCCGCTGCAGAATATTGTATGACAATTTTATTTCTAAAAATTTCTGTATTATTGAAGACGATGAAACTTATATCAAGTACAATCATCAGCAAATTCATGGTGCCGTCTATTATATTGCCAAATGTAGAGGAAAAACAGATAAGAAAAATAAATACATAAAACATGACAAGTTTGCTAAAAAAGTCTTGATTTGGCAAGCTATTTGCAAGCTATTTTTTTTTATATTTGATCTTCTTATATTATTGTATTAAAGTTATTACTTGGTTGGAAATAAAAATTGAAGAGTACTTTTTTTTAGTTGTTTTATTTCGTGTACACGCTTTATGATTATTGCTTCAAGTCCTAGCCGCTAAATATAAAAACAAAGAAAATGAAAAAAATCACTCACTGAGATGGAAATGTCAAATGTATGAGTATGTTTTCTAGGATGAATAACAATTTTTGGGACATTAATCATCAAAAATTAAAGAAATTATCACAATCAGTGTCTGCACAGACATGGAGTTGAAGCGTAAAAAAAGAAAAAAAGGAGAATAAAAAAGTTAGATAACACTTACTAAAAGGGCTAACACATGAATTGTATAAGTTATAAAAATATATTGTGTCAACAATACTTTGATATGTTTCCTGTTATAGTCTTTCCATAAAAAGGTAAAATCTAGTGAATAAATCAAAGTAAATCTTTGTATTTTACATTTAATGTTAATTAACAAATATGTATTATTAAGAATACGGATTGTTTAATATATAGTTTTCTTTTTTTCTTTCCTAAAAAATTAAGGCTATTTGATACTTTTCAAATGAGTAAAAATAATTGTTATAAATATGATGGTACACCAATGGGCACACTCTTTAAATATTAAAATATTGTAAAGCAATAGTTATGACTTTCTCTATATACCAAGGTCTAAAAGTCTACCCGTTCTCTGTACTCCACCAAGCCATGGTCACCAAAGTAAAAAAGCAAAAGATGTATAATTTTATAAATCTTATGTATAAACATGAGTTGAAAATTGAAATGATGAGAAATGAAGTAGGTGAGAGTTAGAGTTTATTTGAAATAAGTTGAGAGATAAAAAGCTAAAAAGTTTGTTTTGAAAAGATTAAGACTGTTCTACTAGTAACCTTCATTAAGTATGCTTCTTAGTGACTATTTGTTAATCCTAACTTCAACACTTTACATTTTAGGTGTGCCTTTACCCATTGTTATCTACATTGGCGTTGTTCATTCTAAATATCTTGGTAACTCTAAAATGTAAGTTTTAATTGTAATTTTAAGTTAAATAATTTGTTGTTAAATTAAATAATTTACTGCAACACCTAACAAATAATAGAAACTAAATAAAATCAAAAATTATTTCTTAAAATATAAAGAACTTACAAAATTCACCATTTGAATACATTTTTATACAATCAAAATTATATTTTTACTGTAAATTTAAAAAGAAATCAATATTAACATTATTCATTAAATTGCTATAAATTTTTTTTATTTAGTTGCACAGTTCAAGGTTATCCATTTTACATTGGAATGTTGCTACCTGTAACTTGCATTATTGTTGTTAATTTGTTTGTTCTTTTACTTGTAATTATAAAGATATCTAAACCGAAACTTGATCTTTCTGCAAATTTTAAAGATGAAGGAGCATTTATTCGATTCAAAAAAGATGTTAAAACTGTATTTATTTTAAGCTGCTTACTAGGAACTACTTGGGTGTTTGCTGTGCTTGCAATAGGTAAACATTTATATAAATTCAACTGTTAACTTTTTTTTTTTTTTTATTTTACTTCACCTCCTCAAGGCCGAAAAGGCCACTACAGACGAGGAGGCTACTTATTTTGTGGCTATAACCCTCTCTCAACTCTATAACTCCGAAACACGAACCTTGACAAACAAGGCCGCTGCGCAGAGAAACGAGTTGAGCGCAGTACTACCAGGGACGTGGTGGACATTAAACTAAGAACCACTCGTTTATGAAGCGAGCGCTCAATCACTACACCACTACCGCATACCACTAACTACTACCAAGGCAATACACTCTGCAATTTAATTAAAGCCCCAGAATTCAAAAATTTGATAAAAAAAATTGTTTTAAATGATGAGATAAAAAGGCTCTATTAACTGTTTACAGTTTGCTATATAATATATATATTAAAATTTCAAGAATATAAATTGCTTTTTTGAATTCTCTGAAAATAGTAGGGGTGTACCGGAATGAAAATTTTGAATTCCGCAACAAGATTTATATTTATGTAATTTTTTACCTTCAAGATTGAAAGGAAAAGTCTGCACCTCAGCACAAAGTAGTGACTTTTAAATATAAACATATAAAATATATTGTATAAAAACATATAGAATAATTATTATAAGGGAATTTGCTGCTACATCCATTATATTATAGCCTGCTGCTACAAGGAAGAGCTTCTACATTGACTAAGGGTTTGGTATAGGGCAGCAATCTTTTTTCTTTTATTATTTCAAATAAAATTTTTAATGTTTAAAAACCCTCCACTGACGAGAGAAAAAATAAAGTTATTTTAGACCGCTTAGCTGTAGCTTAACTAAAATTATATCTTGCCCTGTAGGACATTGGGATCAAACTAATAGGATTCTATTCTATAAATGTTTTGAACATTTTTCCCAATATTGCCCAGTGGTTTCTTAACTATTTTAAAGCTCCAGGAAACTCTAATCAAAAGTGCCTAGTGATACATAATAATTTGTTTTTTTTTTAGTTAATTTACCTTCCCAAGGCCGTGAAGGCCACTACAGATGAGGAGGCTACTTAATTGTGGTTATAACCCTCTCTCAACTCTATAACTCCAAAACATGAACCTTAACGAACAAGGCCGTTGCACAGAGAAACAAGTTGAGTTCAGTACTACCAGGGACATGGTGGGGACCAAACTCGAAACCTCTCGCTTATGAAGCAAGCGCTCTACCACTACACCACTACCGCATTAAATTTATGGTAAAAAAATGTTGAAATGGTATAATGGTAAATAATTTATTAAATTTTTGGTAAATAATACACTGAGATGCTTTTATAATGTTTTTTCCATGTTTGAAAATCTGCTACAGAAAAATTAATTAGTTCAAACAAAGCAAAATCAAAATAACAAAAAATTGAAACATCATGTAAAGTCTAGCATTATATTTATTTTATTTTTCATTTTATAATTTTAAATAGAGTAGGAAATAACAATAAAAAATAGGTAATAATAATAAAAAAATGTCTATATAAAAAAAAAAAGTTAAAAGAAAATTAGAATTCAAGAAACATTTTTTAAAGTCAGTAAAATCAGAGTTTACATATATAAAACTAATTTTGAAATTCAAGACAGTTTTATTTACTTCCTAGGGGCATAATGTTGGGCAAGTTTTTTTCTTTAACAAACTTATATTAGCATAATATTTAAAAGTTATAAATTTTGCAAACTTTACATCTTATAGTTTGTCTTTTCTTTTTGTAGTAAAGATTTTGTTATTAATGCATTAATAATTAAAAAGATTAATATAAATATTGGTTTATAGGTATCTAGTCAACTCTTATGACAAGATGTTTTTACTAAATGTTACAGTGGCAAATTATTGCTAAAAATGTTCTCTTCTTACTAAATGTTACAATGGCAAACTATTGCTAAAAATGTTCTCTTCTTACTAAATGTTAGATTTGCAAACTATTGTTACAGTGGCAAACTATTGCTAAAAAGTTCTCTTCTTACTAAATGTTACAGTGGCAAATTATTGCTAAAAATATATTTTTTTTTTCCTCAATTATCTTTATAGACACAATTATGTTTAAACTTGATGCAATTTGGAAATGCATTAACTAATCCACATAGGTTAATTTAAAGCTCTTCACCACACTAAGTAATACAATATGTTTAGGAGTATTGTCAATTTGAATATTGAATTGTAAGTTTGGTCTCTATTTAAATAATTTCTAATTAAAAATTAGTTTCATAGTATATAAACGATCAGGTTTTTGAAATAATGTTTTTAAAAAACATCATTTTCTCTATAATACACAAACATTGAATCTGCTGGGAGTATATGTTCATATTTAGACATCTTTTTACTAAACATCACACCAAATCACATTTGGCTTGTTTCGAGAAGTACATATTATGGATTGATTTGCATTAAAATGTAATTTTTTCTATCTTTATATCTATGTGTATTAATTTTTTTACTTTAATTTTATTAATTTTTTTACTTTATAAGTAAAGTCAACTTAAGTGTGTGTTGAAAGTTAAATAAACATAATTGTGTTTAAAATGAAAATTGAGTGAGAAATGGTTTGTTTTTTTTTAATTTTGTTTGTAAGAAGAAATTTTTATTTTTGTTACACTGGTAACTGTTGTTGTTTTACGGTAGTAACTGCTGTTTTTGTTACAGTGGTAACTGTTGTTTTTGTTACAGTAGTAACTGTTGTTTTTGTTACAGTGGTAACTGTTGTTTTTGTTACAGTGGTAACCGTTGTTTTTGTCACAATGGTAACTGTTGTTTTCCATTTTAAAGTTTAAGGAGTGCATCTTATCATTAAAGGGGGAAATGCTTAAAAACATTTTTTTTTTTTTTTAAATGCTAATTACAAAAATTTTAACATAAAATGTTGGTTAATATAAAAAAACTTTATTAGTAGTATGTTTAAGATGTAAAGATTGGAAAACATGTTAGTAATCAAAATATCGTGTTTTGTTACCCCACCTTATGTCTCTCAATATTACTATTACTATATTTTGCAAACATCATCAACACAAAATTATTTTTGGCGGTCTTTCCTATTCTATCTTAATTTAAATTATGTGCTAAAAAAAATAAAAATTTAATTTTAATCAAGCCAAGTTTGTTAATTGAGTTTATTGGGTTAAATGTTTATGGACTTTTACCCCAAATTTTATTCTATAGAAACCTATAAGTTTTGATTCTGGAGCTCCACTGCAATATTTTTTATTTACTTCTATAAAATTTTTTAAAGTTTTATTGAATAAAAACAATTTTTTTCTTTACAATAAATGAAAAATTTGTTTGTTTTTAACCTTAATTGCAAGTTTAAAACACTTGAGTGTTGTGTCATCAAGTTGATTTTTAAAATACAAACAAAGTCAACCCTATATCTTGTGAATATAGAGTTTATGCTGATGAAGATGATATACCTGAGGCCTTTTTTTTTCTGTAACTAAAATGTTGGCAATTTATTTATTTGCTTTACAATTACTAAATGAATGTTTATTATTAATCTGTTTATTATTAATCTTATTTGATTAGGAACTTGTGTAATATAAAACTAAAATTTTATTATATAGTTATATAAAAAATAGTTAGCAAATGTGCCGCACTAAAGAAAAACATATTTAAGCATCAAACACAAACAAATTGCAATATTTGAATATGGTTTGTTAATTGAATATTTGAATACGGATTGTTAATTTTTTTTAAAAGAGTCCATTTTTTCCAAATTAAGTTTTTCCAACATTCGGATTCTTTATTGAAAAAGGTACAAATCTAACTATGTCAGTACGAATAAAAAGTTTTTCTTTATCTTTATTTTATAATTACATAATGAGATTAAAAAAATACTTCGATAAATTGTTAATTTTTTATTTTTCTCAAAAAATGTAAATTGTGAATTAGCTTTTTTAAAAAATAAGGTCTTCAAGTTTGTTAATTATATGAATTTTATAGATAACATTTCAATAAAACCTTCTGTTTTGTTAAAATCTAATTTAAAATCAATTCATATAATAGAAAATGATGAATGCACCCGGAAATTGCTCGTAAAATATTTAAAAGTTATATTAAAAGTTGTTAGGGTTCAAAGTTATTTCAAACAGTCCATAATTCCGAACAGCTTTCTTTTGTTTTGTGAGACTTTGAAAAGTAAAACTGATTATTAAGTTAGAAGGCAAGAATGAAAATACAAAATTCAAATGAAAAAACAAAAAATTATTTTAAAAGTATATATTAATACTATGAAAATTTTTAATTGCAAGAAAAATACTTTTTAAAACCCTAAAAAACTAACAAATTGATACTGACTTTAGAATTAAATTGCATGTTGTTTAATGTAAAATTTGACGGTCTTTAAAATAAAACCAAAATTAGTGATACTTAGTTTGATATTTAAAAAACTTTTTTTGCATAATTTAAACGTTTCCCAAAATCTGAATAGATTTAAAATTTTTTTTTTTTTTTTTTTGCAATGTAAAAGTTGGCGTTTTTACATGTAATGCAAGTAATTATCAACAATTTTAAAAACATGAACTTGAAATTAAATATTTTTAAGTTTTTTAATGAATTTTTCAACATCTTATTTATCTTAACGTTTATTAATTAAAAAATGTAAAAAGTTGACAAAAATAAAATTAACAAAAAAAAACTATGTATTGAGGCTTTCAATAATAAGAAAATGTCGTATTCAGAAGCCGCTTGATGCTATAACATTTCTAAAGAAATATTTTTTGCAGATTAAAAGAAATAAATAAAGCTGTTTGTGTTGGTGGGCCAGGAGCAATTTGCCAAGTAACAGAGTTAAACTTTTACAGTTTATGATGTTGGAGTTTTAAAAATTGTAAAAGAATAACGGAAGCGAATTGTAGAAGTTTACTTGGTTAGAAATTCTTATCTAAGTTTGAGTAACCCACAGTTTCCTGCTATGTTAAAAGACGTTATTGTGAAGAAAAGCTTTAAAGCAGAAATTGCACGTATTGGTTTCAAAAATACTGGTATATTTCCACTCGATCGTTCAAAAATAACTACAGATAAAACTGCAGGACTATTTCTTGAAGCGTAACAAATGACAAAATTGAAGATTGTTTTTCTCGAAAGTTGGCTGATTCACAAGTTTCACTGGATAATACTATTTTATTTTTAAAAAACTCTATGAATAGACTTTCAATAAAAGTAATAATGCTTAAAGAACTGGATAGTATCAATAATGTAATAAAACAAGCATCTTTATAAATCAGTGCTCAGTGGGCTTAGAGATAGATTGAAGCTTCTTACCGGTAGTTAAGAAAAGGGAACAATTATCAAAACAATAACATATTATAATATGACTGAATTATGCCACGATCTGTAATCTCCATCATGTTAATCATCTTTGTTATTTCTGCCGAATCGTGGAACGAAGCTATAAGCAGCAAATGATTTGCGTGTGAAAAGTGTTCAACCAAAGTGGTAGTGTTTTCCTTGTATTATCACGAAATAATTGAGTTCGTGTGCAAGGAATGTGAATAACTTTTATTAGTTTTAATTTTTGTACTTTGTTTTGTTTTATTTTGTCATGTTTTAAATCAATTTTTTTGGGAACTATAACTTTTTAATTCTAGTTAGTCATTTTAAATAATCAAATCTGTACAGTACAGCTAGGCTTGCAAGCTCCAAATGAATAAAAACTGCGATACTTTTTAATGGCGGAGAATAGCTTGGTTATAATAATAGAGGGGTATAAAATAATAATTTTTAGGGAACAAACTTAAAGAGTTACTAAACAATGTTTTAGTGCTTGAATTGCTGCTATTTAAAAACACACCTTTATAAGAGATAAAAAAAACTGCACTGCTAAATGATAAACACTAAAAGCTTCCAATTCAATTAATGGGTAGCATTATCTAAGGTTGCAACCCACCTTATAATAGCTAAGGTTTTTGTTAACAGTAGTTAACTTGCAGAAACAGACAGTGACAGTGAAGGTGAGTTCTATTAACTGATTTCAAAAAAATAATGGACAAGAAGCTAATAAATAGATAATGCCCTCACTGTACCAACGCAATGTTATACCCTTACTCTTGAGCCCTTAATTCAAGGGGAGGTTGTTATACCTTTACATTAAAGTATAAAAGTAATTTAATCTTTTAAAAATACTTTTTCTAACTCTTTTAAAAATACTTTTTAAAACTCTAAGCAAGAGGTCAACGCTAGTATAAATTATTTACTAACTTTATTATTAAATTGAAATTTTTGAATTGAAGTTGAAATTGAATTTTCGCTATTTAAATAATTTTTTTGTATTCTTCACTTTTATATAATTCAATTTTTGTTACAGGAAAATTATATATTGTGTTTCAATGGATTTTTTGCATCACGACCAGTTTTCAAGGGTTTTTTCTATTTTTGCATCAAATTGCTCTCAATCCAATGGCCCAAAATGAAATACGTTTTTGCATGCATCGTTTTTTCAGTTCATCTATAGCAAAAAAAAAGAAAGACAATTCAACAGCCAGTAAGTTAAGATGTTTAAAAAAAGCGTTATTTTTATTTATGTTGCGTATTTTCTTTATTTAATTACTATTTTTTATATTTTGAAGAACAAAAAACTATTTTTTGTTTCTATAGTTTGTAATATCTTTTCATTCTTTTTTTATAGTGACACTTTTGGCATCAAAAGATTAAAATATTCAATATAAAATTGTAAACCTTAACCACTATGTATATATATATATATATATATATATATATATATATATATATATATATATATATATATATATATATATATATATATATATATATATATATATATATATATATATATATATATATATATATATATATATATATATAGGGTAGATTAGGGTAATATGAGCATACTTAATGATTTCTTAGAAGTAAGCAGTGAAGTTAAAGTTGCTTTGTATTTTTTGAATCGACTTTATGTGGTGATAACAGAAATCAGTACAATTAACGTAAATTTATATGCAGTAATTAACGGCTATCATCTAATTAAAACGCTGTAAAAATTTTTGCGTTGTTAAATAATATCGTCACGCTTGAATGTATTTGTGGCGCGAAATTTTGATGCATTTAGTTTTGACTTTATTTAAAGATGCCATTTTTGTGTAATATGAGCATGCTCAAATTACCCAGTGTTTTTCATTGAAATTACCAAGTTTAAAGTCTTAAAATAGCAGTCGAAAAATTTGAATTTTTATCGTTCAAAGGTTTGAGTTAATAAAATTTAAAAAAAACGAACTAATTTTTTTTTTTTTTTTTGGCGGAAAACAGTATTTTTTTAACAAAAAGTGGCTTAAAATTTGATCTTTAAATGATAAGTTTTGTTAATAACGAATTATTATATTCCAAAAGTTAGTTCTAATTGTCAGTTTGGTATTTAACTTTTTATAACATTAAGTAATGATATAAAAATATCATTACTTAATGTTATTTTTTCGAGCTAATTTAAAATGATCATATTACCAAAAGGTCTAATTAATATGAGCACTTTCGTTTTTTAAGTCTCTGTGCTTTTAAGAAAAAATTTCAGGTGCCCAAATATCTAAGTGAATTTTGGATCCAGCATAATATTTTTTTGTGAAAATATTCCAATTTTCGCTTAAGGTGCTCATATTACCTTAATCTACCCTATATATATATATATATATATATATATATATATATATATATATATATATATATATATATATATATATATATATATATATATATATATATATATATATATATAACATATTGAGTATTTTTATATATAATTATCATAACAATTTTAGTATTTTTTTTTTGGTTAATTTGTAAACTCATATTTTATACATTATTTTACCTAAATTTTTTCAACGTTCAGATTTTACAAAGTTTTTCAAATGTTTGGGTTTTTTTTAATTTTTCTGTATATACTAAAAAATATATTTGTTTTCTAGTTAATAAAATGAATAATTGAAGATCAAAAAATAATTTAGCCAATTCATAGCAACAAAGAAACTTTTCTATTAAAAATTTTAAAAAACTCATTCAGAAAATTATTCAGAAAAAAAAAGAATCTCTTCCCTGGTCTATAATTTTATCAAGAATAAACTACTTTTAAAGTTATAAAACTATAAACACTGTACAATTATGATAATAAGTTTTTATCAAATTCCTTTACAAAGTTGTTTATACTTTATGTAACAACTTTATATACACAACTTTGCAACACTAATTTTCTTATAATTAATTTAAATTAAAAATTTAGTAAACGTTAGAAAGACTTAGAGCATTTATATAACTTGAAATATATATATATTTTTTAAACAAAACAAACAGTTATTAACATTTATTTAGTCTAATAAGGGTTGGTGTAAATCAAATTCAGTCAACAACATTCAGACTTTTTAAATATGAAAAAAGTAATAACTAGTAACGTTTTTATTCATTACTTTATATATAAAATAATTAAGGTTAGGTGTAACTTTTTATTGTAAAGTTATAGTATATACCTTTTTATTTGTCAATTGAAAAATTCATAACCAGTAACTTTTTTATTTTTAAATTGTAAAATTAATGAACAGTAACTTTTTTATTTTTGAATTGTAAAATTTATAACCAGTAACCGTTTTATTTGTAAATTGTAAAATTTATAACCAGTAATTTTTTTATTTGTAAATTGTATAATTTATAATCAGTAATTTTTTATTTGAACTATATTAATCTTTTATAACCAATTACATGTCACTTATAATAATATTTGAACGAGGGTAAATTGGATAATTTTTGCAGCATCAAATTTCGTGCAAACACTACTCAGCATCAAAAAAGTTATACTGCTTTTATTTTATAACAGTTTTTTGTTTTACGTTTAAGTTAATAAAATCTTTTTTAATCCAGTTTTTGTTACGTTGCAAAAAAATGTTTTCAGTCACTATACAACTGTTTTTCAACGGTTATACAGCGATTTTTCGCATGAAAAAACTTGAATCTTCTTACACCTAACTTTTAAACTTTAACTGTCCATTAATGGAGCACTTCTTTAAAACTACTAATCGTCGCGCAATTTTACTAAAACTACTAATCGTCGCGCAATTTTACTAAAACTCCTAATCGTCGCGCAATTTTACCAAAGGTTTTTACTAAATTTTACTAAAGGTCACTTCTTTAAAACTTCTAATCGTTGCGCTATTTTACCAAAACTACTAATCGTCGCGCAATTTTTATATGAAAAGTGAAAAAAAAATTGGTCATTTTTTTAATATAAAAAAATTATGCATAAAATATTGAAGACATATTTTGTGCGACCTCCCAAATTTCAATTTCTAAGTATTAATTAGGTGAACACTTTTTTTTAACTACCATATCTCTCATTTATGTCATGACAAAATATAAAAAAATTAAAACTAACAGTTAATTATTCATTATATGAATTGAATTTTTAATTAACCAATGTTATATTTGAAATCAAATTTGAACTAACAAACTTATTCCTAAAAGTTTCACTGCATATCTACAAATTCCCTTAGATAAAAACCCAGGTTTTAGACCAATTGGAATAGGGAAAAAACCAAGACCCATCAAAGGTGAATTAATTATCTGGACTTTCAATAACGAGATAAAGAAACATCAGGGCAATTACAAAAATGTGCTGGATATGGAGCCAAAGCTGCAATACATGCAATGAAGAAAATGTTTAACAAATGGCGAAACAAATGTAATACTTTTGATAAACGCAAAGATTGCCTTTAATTGTAAGAATTGTCAAGTCGCTTTACACAACATCCAAATCATTCGTCCAATAATTTCGGTTTACTTAATAAATACATACAGAAACCCGTCGAGGCTCTTTTGTGGCATGGGGAAAAGAAATATTCTCCCAAGAGCGTACAACCCAAGGTGATCCTCTTGTAATACCTTAGTATTCGTTTTACACCAATTTTTACAATAATCATAGAACACCTACATGAAAATCACCAACAAGTTAAACAGGTGTGGCTAGATAATGCTACAGCTAGTGGCAGCATTTAATACATACATATCTGGTACCAACATATATAAGTTTTATTTTTATCAATTTAGAATAGAGAATACAAAAGTTTATCGTCCACAGAATCCTGGACTATCTGCCTATGAAGGAGCAAATAAATACAATACATCACGTTCTTTTGTGCAAAAAGCCAAGAATTTTTACGGTACTAACTCACTGTTATTTTAGAATAAAATATCCATACAGTACCAAAAAGCAGCAAAAATGTTTCAAAACGCGAGCGACTAAACTGTACGAAAACACTCTGACAAAGTATAAAGGATGCCTAACTCGTGATGACGAAACTTATGTCAAATTAGACTTTAGACAAATACATGGTTATAGATTTTATGCTGAAACTAAGTGTAGAGCTGTCAGCGATAAATATAAAAATACCAGGCTGGATAAGATCAGCAGTAAAAGTATGATATGACAAGCAGTTTGTATTTGTGCTAAAAAATGTAGGCCATTTGTAACCTCAAAGTCAATGAATGCCAAACTCTATAAGGAGTGCCTGGATCTTCTACTTTTTATAAAATCTCAAAATGTTCCGCTAAGGTTTTGGTC